GGGAATCACTGCGATTGGAGAAAACCACGACGATTATATATCGATTATAAGAAAAGATACAGAAAGAAAAAGCTCGTCTCCCTATCCGAACAGTTTCGATCGAGCGAGAGAGAAACAGGAAGAAACAGGGTCGTTGTTCCGTTGTTCGAAGATGGAGGCTGCTGCTCGATCGTTGGAGATCGGTCGGTCGGTCGGGAATTTAGACACGGTAGGAGAAATGGCGGTAAGTGGTGCCGCCTGGCAAACGGCCGGAAGTGTGGGACTCGTAGGAGGAATGATAGCTTCCAGGAGCGCCGCCACTCGATGTCCTGGTCGATCTCTCGGTCGAGTACGATCCGTACGGGCCGCTCTCCCTCTTGTAGACGCTCTCCTCGCTGTAGCTGGACTTGTGCGGGCGGCGACTGTACGGATCCGTGGAGGAGGAGGAAGACGACGAGCTGGTGTTGGTGTAGGCATAGCTGTACTGCTCTTGAGCAGACCTCACCCCGACTTCCGGATAGTCACGGACCACGTAATGCCGAGGCGTCTATAGATTCGGGTTACACAAGGTCAACAATGTGGAGAACAGAGGCGTTTCCGGAGAACAGAACTCGATTTCTTTCCATTTCTCGAAAGAACACTCTTTTCTTTTTAACTATATACGTATATATATATATACATATATAGGTATAATTTCGATCGATTTAATTTGCTAAGTTTTCATTCGCTCTGCTCTCCGTCTTTTGGAAACAACATGTATCCAAAGGAAAAAAAAGGACATTGTGTGAAAAATAAGAAAGTTCGAATTTTTTGCGAATTATCGTAAACATTGGTGAACGTTAATGCGATCGAGTTGGAAAATTTTTAAAATCGTTTCGAACGATACTTTCGAGGCGAGCGCATTCACACGTTCGCCAATACGATAATACGAATAATAATTCGCAAAACTTCGAGTCATGGTACACCTTCGTCTGATCTCATCTCGCTTGCGTGATCGATTGAAACGATCGAAAAAGAAAAAAGGATATCTCGACATTTTGCCACGTTAGTATTTTATTTTAAATTAAATTCAGACGAAGCGTTGAATGAATTTTCTTTATTTTTTTTTTTGGAAGGGAATCGTGATAATTAGCACGAATATACTTAAGGTTTTTTAATCACACTTGATGTTAAGTTGAGGGAAAAGGGGAAAGTGAAGAGGAGGATCGCTAAGATAAGATCTCGCCATTTAATGTATATTCGATATCTATCTGTAGACACACAACGTGCGGGCCAATTATAAACGTAGAGCGGTACACGTATGCATTAATAATGTCTCCTTGCCGAGATATTCAGGACACTCTAGAGTGCAACGTTGGGCAACTTGAATCAAGCCAACTTGCCAAGAAACACATACATAACGTGACGCGATAGTGTGTATATAAGTTATGTTTGTGTTCTTTGCTCATATGCACCGGTGCATCTCGGTGTCTCGTTTCGGCCATTAGTTTTCGACCTAAAAACTTTGTTCACTTTGTCCCCTTCGATCTTGCCCAAGCATCGATTCTTCTTTGGAAAATCGAGCCTTCCTAATTATAGATATATGGGTCGAATAAAAACTTTCTGTTCGCCTAAAAATATTAAACGCGTTTAAAGGGAACGAAATTCCCGCGGTTAAACGCGGGATCTTTAAAAAAATCGAGAAATACTTTATTTCGTTCTATATACGATATCGCGATAATCAATTCACGATTTCGAATAAAATTGTTCGTAATAATAATAGAAAATAATAGAGATTATTCCAATTTATTTCATAAAATTTGAAAATATTAATCTATCGTATTATTATATCTACTTACGAAACTCTCGAGAAATCTTTTATTAAATCGTTCGATTAATTATTCAATAAAGTCGATCTCGTCCTGACAAGTATTCGTATTATCTAACGTAAATTCTAAGGAGGAAAGGTATATAAAATTGTTTATCAGTCGCATCGAAACCCGTCCGTTTATCTTTTCACGAGACGTAATATTCCATTAATAAGCAGTTCCAGTTCGCGGGTTATCCTTAAAATCGGTACCAAGATGGCGTTTGGAGCGCCATCAGTATCTTGGTATGGCCGCTGGCCGGTAAAGCGACGTGCCTGGTAGTCTGTGGCCTGGAAAGCACCCCTTTCCCGAAAACGTGCCCTTTCCTCGCCAATTCGGCTGCGGCATCCAAGCTGACCTTCGACACCGCACCACCTGCCACCAATTGGCGGGCATGATCCTCTTTTGAGGGGTTCTTCCCACGCACGACACCCTCCTTGTCCCTCAGGGTCACGTATTGGTAAAATTCCTTTTTAGGATCCTGTCTCTTACGACCCCAAACCGTGAACGGTTCCGGTACCAAGGATGGTCGTGGGACAAACGGCACTTTTTCCCAGGGGAAGTAGTCCTGTTTCTGTAAATTTCATCATCATCGTTCGTGATGCGTTTTCTGCCCCCTCGTATTCTTCTTCTCGATCATCAATTGTTTCTCAGGATTATTATTGTTATTATTATTATTGTTATTATTATCTTCGCTTCGATCAGAAACTTGATCCCTTTCGATTCGTCTTCACTTCCACACCATCGTTCTTCCATTATTATTGCGACACTATATATATATATGTACATATATTTACTTATATCGATCGTAGAAACGCGAGTTAAAATGACGAATCTTAAATTATTCAATGATCGTGCCACCGCCATTCCGGTCACTGCGGACGAATATAGAATTGGATAAGGAAAATACGAACGTCGTCCTTTTCCTTTCCCCGATGATTCCTCGCTATTTTATTATTCTCGATTATTTTCTGCCACCGTTATAGCGCGTAGCGTGTTTCTCATCCTCGCGTAAAAATAGACGAAAGCAACAGTGAATGGTATATAAGGAACGCAACACAAGGCGCCCTCGTGCTCGCCTCCGCACATTCCGAATTGTTGAGCGAGATTTTTTTAAGGCGGATCCCTCCTTACGCTTGCTCCTCCAATGTAATATCGTATATTGTCGTTTTCCTTCTCTTCGTTTCTCCAAACACGTCGTTGAGCGTTCAGCTTATCTTTCTCTCTCTCTCTCTCTTTTTATTTTTTCAATATTTTATAATTATCGTTCTATTTTAGAAACATTTTTTATCTTTAGCTTATTAATTAATTCCCATCAAAGCTCGTTAATTCTATCTTCTCTCTCATAAAATTGTTCATAATCTTATTCAGATCAGATATAAGTGTAAGAAAAAAAAAATAAAAATAAAAAATTCTGTTTCTCCTTCCATTTTGTCCAAGGTGGGACGACAAAAATAGAAGGAAATTGCATTATCGATCTAAATGTTTCGAAATTTTCGAGGAACAATAATCCGAGAAACACGAAGCTTTTTGCGACATATATAGGTTACAAAAGCAAATATGGCCAGTGAGAAAATCACATATGAATTTCCGTGACGAATTTTAGCTCCCTTAGTGGTGGGAGTCAACATCGTTGGTCTACGTCGTGAGTCTAAATTAGGGCAGAGTAACGCAACACCGATGCTCGCAGAATCCCCTCTACTGAAACGAAGAAATACGGAAAGTATCTTAATAACATATCTTTGACCACCGAAACGCTCCCCTGGTGTGAGTGCGCGTGTCGTTGCATCCGTCTCTGTTTCTCCTTCGAATCGTTCGAGATGCTCTCGGTCTCTTTCTCTCTCTCGAGAGAGAGAGACCTCTCTTTCAAAACATGGTTAGAATCGTTGGGAAGTAAGGTATTCGGGTCAGCTTTTAACGATGCCATTGATCCATGATCAACCGATGGAGAATCGATCTTGATCGATCCAAAATTTGTGTTCACGAAGTTGAAAAATTCTCTCCTCTCGAGAAATTTCACTAATTTTTCTCGATTTCCTTTATTTTCTTCGCTTCGAGTTTTTGTAAAAAAAGTTCGGTTTATGGTTTATTCGTCTCTTCGTTCATTTTTCTTTATTATTTATTTATTCTTTTTTTTTTTTTAACTCGAATCAATGTTTTGTCAGAACAGACTACGTGCAAGTTCGAAATACATTTTTTGCTGCTCACGAATCCAAAATTTGCCGGGTCAGTATGATATCTAAGTTTAACGCGACTAAGAGTCCCGGAAAATGGCTGCAACGCTATGAATAGTCGTTTCTCTGATTCCTTTGCCCTCGAATCACTGCGACTTTATACGAATTCTCGAATATTTCGTTTTCGAAGATGAAAATATCGTTTAATATTTAATAAACGTGAAACTCGTTAAAATTCGAGTATATGATTCGCAAATTAGAAGTTTAAGAGGGCTTAAAAGATAATATAAACAAACAAAGGAAAAGAAAAAGTTATCTTTAATCTAGCGATCATTTTTACGAATACGATCGCTCGTATCTCTTATTGAAATAAATTCCATCTCTTTAAAACAATAATTTCCTATCCCAATTAAATCCCAATTATTGACACAAACGAATACACGAAGCATACAATTGGTAGAATAAATAATAAAATCTTGGTTACATTGGGAGATATAACACATATATGTGTGTACAAGTGCATACAAAACACAGAGGATGTTGTCGAAAACAAATCATTCAACAGGTATCTTTCTTTTTATTTTTTTTTTTTTTTTCCCGTCCGTTTTTAATTCGTCCGGGTGACTCG